GTCATTGAGAAACACAGCACGCTCTATGTGGTATTCATGAACGAGGCTGTAACTAACAAGCAATTAAGCAGATCGCAAGGTTCAAAAATATTTATTTGTAGAAGAATAAAATGAACACAGCAGTAAAGAAAACACCCTGACACTTGTGTACAGCATGAAAATATAGCCTTGACTTATCACACAGATTGTACCACATGTGTATTTACTCAGCACTCACAGTATTGAGATATTTGAACATCTATACTGGCTAATTTCTCAGTAACGTTTTTTGACTGGCTATAAACAGTCTGGATAACTAATCCAATAAAGAGCCAGGAACTTTCAAATTGGGATCCTATTCAGGACTAGAAAACAATTAACTTCCTTTTACTGTAATTAATAATAAGCACTTAGTCAATCTGGGTAGACTTTTTTGCCATTAAGAGACGCAAGGCATAGTCCCGTAGGGATTGGTCGCAGATAACAGAAAGAAGTAACAAGTCCCCTGGGCTACAAAGCATCGCTTGTCACTTTCGTTTATAAGTCACGAGACTACTGCAATTATACGTCATTCGCAGAATTGGAAATGCATAAAAGTACAGTAGCGTCACAAGCAATATCTTAAACTCTCAAACAACTAATATCATCTACGTCTGCAGTATCATAAGCTCTCAACCAACTATTATCATTTATATCAGCGATATTCTCAGCTTTACACTATTTCCATCGACCTCAGCACTATCCTAAGCACTCAACCAATTATCGTTATCTGCGTCAGTAGTGAATTCAACCAGTTACTTTAATGTGCATTATCAGTATCTTAAACTTTTGACAAACGAGACGGAATGCACATCTACATTAGCCTACATGTGCCCGGAAGAGAGAAAACTGTCATGGAAATGCCATTCACTCGGATATGATTTTCAAATGACAGTTTCAAGGTTAGATGAGTACAACACCGAGTGACTTATTGCCTTTGTTTTCTATATGCCCCTTGCTTCGATAGTTGGACGAAAGCAGACAAGAATAGTTACTGTTCTTCACTTCCTATTGTTGACTTACCATTTATTTTGAGATCCTCAGCTTAGGTGGAAAGAAAGGTACAATGCTTTTATTATGATGCTTAAAACTGTTCGTAAGGTATTTAGCCAGAGTGAGAACCTTCTCATTAATTTTAGATGAAACATTAAAAAACAGTATAATGCCTATTTAAATAACTATACGTATTTCGTAAATTGAAGTTTATCCAAAATAACTTCTATCTATTGTCCCAATTGACATATGAAACAAATTCAAGTGTTAAACTGGGGAGTTAGCACTTGTTTGTTCTCTATTCACTTAGTTCCACAGAATATTAACAAAACCTTACTTACCTTGAATACTGCTTTACAACTTTTCGGTGGTAGATAAGAAAGACACAACAGGCTTACCTAGAAGTTCAAGATATATACGAACTCTTACTGAGTAGTGCGATATGAGAAAGCCAAAGAACTTCCTCTCAAGCTGTTGGTAAATCTATATTTTCACGTTTTATAAGCTCTTAGTGATTAACATGAAAATCCATATACTATTTCATTTCAATTTTTTATTAAAATAAGTTTTAACCTTTTATTAACTCTTTGAGAGTAGAATAAAAACAACAACCACAGAGTTTGCTGTGTAATGTAATATTGCTCGTGACAGTTTTGCAGAAAGAAATGTGGTAAAAAAAGGCACAGTTGACAAAACAACTTTAACTTTAAGAAACATCAAAACAGAGGAGGAACAAATGTATTCCTTTCTTCTTCTTTTTTTTTTGAACCGTCATTGAATTAGATGTAGTCGTTTTCGTACACTCAGCTGCAGTTTTCACTATTGGGAACTTCTGAAAGGACTAAAGTTACCAGCTGGTCAGCTGCCACGCTGGTAGCTCTGCTTTGTGGATGGCAGCTGTTATGCTTTAGTGCACAGTTATACGTTCATTTACTTCTAGTGCCACGTGGCTGGCACGAGAGGAGTTCGATACCTCAGCGCTTGCGTTAATTGCAGACTTTGCGCTAAGAATTTGATAAAACAAGCGTTTCTGAATGAAACTCAAAAACTGTAATAAAACCACTTGCAACTACTGCTGAAATTAATATTAACACAGGAGATAGCAAAAACAACAACAAACAAATGTTACGTAGATTTTTCGATGCTTTTAGTGTCTTCTGGTAGAACTTTGGCTAGTAATTCACCGGAAATAAGGTCATGTTTGATTAGACCATGTTTATGACCACTTCTGTGATTAATCTAGAACAACACTCCCTTTTGTGTTATAAACTTCAACACCAGATTGATCAGCCTCATCTCGTCGCCGTGACAACCGCGCCTTAGCGATCTCGCACCCAATCAAAACGACGCCCGCGCTGCATAGACGATGACAGCTTGTGACGTTACATGTGCATACTAGTTAGTTGGACTAGGAGGAATTAGGGGTGACAAAGTTCATCAGGAGCGGACTAGACAGATGAACCGAACATGTCAGGCCGGCCACAAGTTCTCCCACGATCCGAACCCAAGAGGATGTAACTCTATACGACAAAGAGACGGGTAGCCGCCTCAACAGATGTGCTTGCTGCCAGCTGGGGGGTTGCACAGGACCCGCTAAACTGCTAGAGTTTCTTTCTTATCACTGTGGTTAACGGTTCAAAACTTTTATTCTATTTTGCCTGAGGTAGGTAGGGATTTCTCTTATTTAACAAGTCGTAAAGTTTGTTAATGTTACTTGAACGTAAAATATTATATTCCAGATAGTTTGACATGTTCGTAGAGAAGATACAGCCTAATAAAATATATTATTAGGCTGTATATATTAATTAGGCCTAATAATAATATTTTTATATAGTTTACAATGAGTTGTTTCCGTAATATATTCTAATAAATAGGTCATAATCAATATGATGTGAATAGTATGATTTAAAATCCCACGATTAGTTTACGTCGTAATTCACTTATTTTTGCATCAGAGTTCGTATCACAGTCGCGTCTTAAAAGTTAAACATAGGCAGACTAGTTCGTGAAGCACGCATAACAACGAATCAGAACCCTAAAAATAAAATTCACATGTCTGTATAAAAACAAAGAACACCTGATACGACTATGCCTGAACTTTATTGGCAATGGCAGCAATACTGTTTGATTTAGGAACAAATCTTAAGTTAAGATAAATAAAAGCATAAAAAAACAAGAAATCCATACCATTTTTTCTAAATTTTGAACAAGCTAGCAATACATCACTATGGAATTTAGTTTAAATATGCCGTTTTGCTTGGGACAGCGCTGTTTATATGTTGATAATAAGGAAATTCAAACGGAGATTAGTTTTTTTTTTATAATGCATGCACATACTTCTAGTTCGATAAACTCACTGACCATACTGTAACGTATATATATATAAAGAGTGTGTAAAATTAAAGCATGAAAAAAAAAAAGATAAAAGCATATATTTTTCATCTTGGGTTATCTGGTAGAGATTACGCAAAGCTTAAGGCAGGTACGTGTTTTATTTACAGTATTTGTGTAGTGTTATTTGAAAATTTTTATGAATTACTAATTAGAAGCTGTACTTGATGTTTTTTCCCCACAATTTCATATGTCAGCTGAAAATTTTTTAAAAGTATATCATATTCCATAAGTTATAATTTCTGAGTTGGGTGTATGAAGATCACTTCAGAGTGCATTGATGAATAGAGTAACCTTAGAATTATCAATGGGTCATAAGGGACCAATGGATTGTTAAACATATTAAAAAATAAACGTTGTTGGAGTTTCCTATGTACTTTGTATAGAAAATAAGTTGTTTGTATTTCCTGTGTACTTTCTATGGAAAATATGTTGTTGGAGTTTTCTATTTACTTTATATAGAAGATAAGTTGTTGGAGTTTCCTATGTACTTTATATAGAAAATAAGTTGTTGGAGTTTTCTATGTAATTTATATAGAAAATAAGTTGTTGGAGTTTTCTATGTAATTTATATAGAAAATATGTTGTTGGAATTTTCTATTTACTTTGTATAGAAAATAAGTTGTTGGAGTTTTCTATTTACTTTAAATAGAAGATAAGTATTTGTATTTCCTGTGTACTTTAAATAGAAGATAAGTTGTTTGTATTTCCTGTGTACTTTATATAGAAAATAACTTGTTGGAGTTTCCTATGTACTTTATATAGAAAATAAGTTGTTTGTATTTCCTGTGTACTTTATATGGAAAATATGTTGTTGGAGTTTTCTATTTACTTTATATAGAAAATAAGTTGTTGGAGTTTCCTATGTACTTTATATAGAAAATATGTTGTTGGAGTTTTCTATTTACTTTATATAGAAAATAAGTTGTTTGTATTTCCTGTGTACTTT